CTGCCTCCTAAGGACCATGATGTATCAAATGCTTTCTCAGAGCATCTTCAAATTTCCCTCCTCTTCTTTATCGTCTAGAATCTTTCTGCTCCGTTTATAAATGTTTAACTATCTCCTGTCATATATGTATGTGTATATATACATACATGTATGTGTCTTCACTTGTCCCTATACTTCCTCCATATTCAGCTCTATTTCTCCCATCTTTTCAGCTGAACATCTTAAAAGAATGCATATTCCATCTCCACCTCTCAACCTCCCTCATCCAGCCACTGTCATCATTCGGGCTTCTGCCTCAATCTACGAAGAGTCCACCCAGTTGACAAATCAATGGATTCTGTATAACTCATCTTACATGATCTATCAAAAGCTTCTGAAACTGTTTGAATCTTGTTTTGAATCTTGGCTCCACCATTTACTCTCTCATGAGTTTGGACATGTTATTTTCCTTATCTGTAGTTCAGTATCCTCAATTATAAAATATGGATGATAATAGTATCTACCTCATAAGACTGCTGTGTGGATTACATGGGTGAATATATATCATGCACTTAGGACAAATCCTGGGGCACAGTAAGCATTAATACAAATGCTTGCTGCAGTCATTCCTATAATATTACTATTAATACCATTATCTTTATTATTGTAACCCCAACCTTCCTTAGCTGCTATGACACTGTCATCCTGACTGACCTCTTACCTCTCAGGCAGCTCTTTCCCATTCTCCTTCCCAAGCTCCTCCAATTCTACTTCACCTTAACTATTGGTATTCCTCACATCCTATCTTCCATCACCTTCTCTTCTGACTCAAATATTTTCCTCCAGTTCTCTCACCTACTCCTGATGATTGCAACCTTCATCTTTTTTTTTAATATATTTTATTGATATTTTTACAGAGAGGAAGGGAAAGGGATAGAGAGTTAGAAACATCGATGAGAGAGAAACATCGATCAGCTGCCTCCTGCACACCCGCTGCTGAAGATGAGCCTGCAACCAAGGTACATGCCCTTGACTGAAATCGAACCCGGGACCCTTCAGTCCATAGGCCGATGCTCTATCCACTGAGCCAAACCGGTCAGGGCGCAACCTTCATCTTAAATATATACTCCTACTCCAGCTGTCTCCTAAATCCAGACCTTTATGAATATTCAACTGTCCACCAGACATCTCCACAGGCACCTCAACTCATGTCTAGAACTAAACTCAACATCTTCCTTCTGAGTCTTGCTTCTCCTCCTGTATACACATCTCAAAATATCACCACTATCCACCTTATTGTCCTAACTAGAAACCTGAGTGTCATTCACAACTCTTCTCCCTGCAACCAGTCACTAAAATCTTTTGATTCTACCTTCTTCATATCTCTTCAATCAGTCTTCTTTCCATTCAATTCCTCTCATCATTTCCAAAGTCCTACTGGTTTTCCTCCTACCAGACATTTGCCTATCCATCTGCTAATGGCAGTCATCTTCCCAAAATAAAAATCTAATCGTATCCTTCAAGATGCAATTCAGCACTACCTCCTCTGGGAAGCCTTCCCAAACCACCCCACTCTGAACTGGGTGGTTATTTGTGCTACTGGAGTTCCTGGAGCACACATCCAAAAACAGCCATCATCACAGCATTCATCACTCTATATGCACAGGGTACATATGTCAGTGTTTGGAAACATCTAGCGGGTAGAAAACAGGAATGCTACTGGGCATCCTACAATGCACAGGACAGTCCCTGAAACAAAGAAATTAGCATCCCCAAAACATCAGCAGTCCCAAAGTTGAGAAAACCTGCTGTATTAGAATGATCTCACTACATGTCAATCACCCGCAGGAGACTGTAGGTATCTTCAGGCAGAGTCTATGCTATATTAATCTTTATGAAGGCCTTATGCCTAATATAAGACCTTTTCCACAACTGAGGCTCAGTACATGAATATATAGAACTAAATGAACATTTATTCCCCCTTTTACTTACTCTGTAAGAAAACTTGAGCTTTCGAATCTCAGCTTCCAGCTTGCTCTGGTATGACTCATGTCCTTTCACATGGCTCACACCAATATTTTCAACTGCTTTTAGCACTAGAAAAAAAAATTAATAAAAGAAAAGTATATAAATGCAAGATAATTTTTAAAAACTAAATTCAAGACATAAAATCTATGAATGGCAATTGAATAATTATTTGTTTATAAAAGATGGCACGTGAGAAGTTATTTTCTGCAAGTACATAATATAAATTATATCCTATATAATAAAAGCCTAATATGCAAATCAACTGAACAGCAGAAAAACCGGTGGAATGACCGGTCACTATGACACACACTGACCACCAGGGGGCAGACAAATGCAACAACAGCTGCCCCCTCCCCACAGGCCCCAGGCCAGCCAGGGCGGGTGCCAGCGGGGGTCCCCCGATTGCCCCACAGATCGGCCTTGATAGCTGGCCAGGCCTAGGGACCCTACCTGTGCACAAATTTCGTGCACCAGGCCTCTAGTATGTTTATAAGAAGCTAACCACCATTCATGTGTAGAAAAGATCAAGGCCCCACAGCATAATTTAATACCAGGGTCTCAACCAGGGGGAAGAGAGGAATGGTTAACCACTGCTGTACTGAGCCACTGTGGTTGAGGAATGGAAAAGGGTGTCTGTATGGAGAAAAGACTAAGCACCCCTTGTTTGTATCCCTCATGTGGAACTGCCTGTTAGGTGGTCTACTTCTATTTTCTCAGCATATACTCATCAGAAAGATAGCCCTTCCTTTCTGATGAAGCAGGGAAGACACAATAGTGAAGAAGCAGGGCCCTCCAATCACCCAAACACTCTCTAAATAGATGCTACACCCTGTTTAAAAATTCCTACAGCCCCTTGTCAATCCTTTTTCAGATGAATTCTTCTTTCATCAATACAAAGAGAGGCTTTTTTTTAATTCAAGAATTAAAAACTTCTCAAATGACTCCTGAACATAAACCCATGTCCCTCGGGTACCTCTTTTTATGGCATACCAAAGCAAACTAATAATCTCCCCCCTGCACCCCCCTTTGCTGCTCCTCTTCTGGCTATCTCCATCTCCACTAGCTTCAGCCACCACCACTACTAGAGCCCTTAACATACTAAACTATGATTATTATTTTGCATCTCTGCTTCCATGTACTAGAATACAATTTCATCAAAGATGAGAACTACAATATTCATCTCAAAATCCCTACCACCTGGAATAGAGTGGACTCAATAAATATGAACTGTCCAGTAAATAAACGAATAGCAAACCCTCAATATTTGTTAAATAATTGCTTAATAAAGGAAATATATTAGCACACTCATTCTCACAAAATATAAGTGAGATCCTCAAGAATACGTAAATTCTAATTCAAATATCACTCACACTTAACTCTATCGAAAGCAAAGTTTTCAAACTCTATCAGAGATATGTTTTCAGTAGGTGGCTGCAGGTAAAACTGAAGGCTGTGAGGGTAAGCATTCCTCTGATCGCCTGCCAACTTCAGTCTCTTCCTCTTTGAAAATTCCATCTTGTTACCCTTATCAGGAAGCACCTAAAAAGGTTGAAATGATGGAAAGTGGAGTTGAAAACAACCAACCAAAAACATAAACAAAAATAATAATACGTCTACACGCACAGAAAAAAAAAAAAAAACAGTGAAGTTCAAGGGCATACACCAAAGGTTAACAGTGGCTATCCCTGGGCGATGTCTTTCTGTATTTTCCACATTTTCTACAATACACCTTGTAAATGGTTGAGGGTGGGGGCCGGGCTGCTAGGGAAGACGCAGGTGGTGATGCTAACTTCCAGCAACATGAGAGCCAGGTGCTGGTGCTGCTCACTGAAGTCCGCGCACCTGACCTCCGCTGTCCCGGGTTTACAGGAGGTTTCCTAAGGGGCTGCGATCCTGAGCTCCTTGGAAAGCGCGGTAGGTTCTAACTAGTAAGAAACTTACTGGACCGGATCCAATTACAGTACTTCCTTCCTATCTTAATGACCCCGGGAAACAGAACTGTTTTTGAATCCAGTCTTTCAGAACTCCTGTTAGGGAGCATCCACACGTTCCGTATAAAAATCCTCCCCCCACCTCCCACCACCACCAGCCTCCTCCGGCGAAGCTGTCCCTATTCGACTCACGGGCGCCTGAGTCTCAGCCCAATAACCGACACCCGAGCCAGATCAACCCTCCGCTCCCATCGCCCGCAAAGTGCTCTCCCTTCTGTCTCCACCTGCAAGTCTGAACAACAGACTGCCGTCGGTTCTAAAGCCTCGGGAGCTGCTCTTACCTGCCACCACTCCGAAAGCGAGGAGACGCTAACGCTGACAGCCGCTTTTCCCGGTGGCGGGAGATTTCACTTAACAGGAAGCGGAAGTGACGGACACAAGTCCCGCCCCCGAATGTCCCGCCGCCGCAGCACCGCCCTGTGCGGGCGGAGGGCGCCCACCTGGACGCCTGCTGTTGCGGGGAGTTGGTAGCTCTGGGCGGTGGACGCTGGGGTGCGGGATGCTGGCGGCACAGGTTTCCGCGGCCCGAGAGGGTGGCCCGGAGGACTCCGGGGACGCAGCGAAGATCCCAGGGGATGACATTGTGGCGCTCTGACCCGCAGGGCTGGCGCCCGTCACTTTCGATCGGGGAGGTTAAAGAAGAGGCCTTCACTGACTTCATTTATTGCACCTGGACCACTATGAGGAGCTCTAGTTCGGTTGCATTTTTTTAAGAATTTTGCATTTTTCAATTACAGTTTACATTTGATATTGACTTTTATCAGTTCCAGGTGTACAGAATCGTGGTTAGACAATCGTAGACTTTACAAAGTGTCCCCCTCCCCCCGCCCCCAGAAGCTCTGATTTTTCTTGTTTAATCTTTCAAGTGGTATTACTCCATTTTACGGATGGGAAGACAGTAGCTAAAAGATGATTGTTCGTTTGCCCATCTGTGTACAGTGCGTATTTTGTTTTTCCTGTGAGAAGGCAAGCCCCATCACGTTAGCTTCTACCTTTAGTTCACTACCCTCCACCCCAGCTCCGCCCCAACGCCTGCCGCACAGTGAGCGAGCAGAAAAACATCTGGAATTAGAATGAATAAGTGAGTGCGCACACACAGAAGTCGCTCTGGGATCTACAGAAATTAGAAGAAGGCGGGCTCAGGGGGAGAAGCAGGTGTGGAAGAGGTGGGACGCCTGGGGAGAAAGTGGATCTCGGACTGCGGATCATTGGAAGTGGCGGGTAGGAGCCACACAGGCTCTGCAGTCTGCAGGGTTTTCAAGAGCTGGAAAGAAAGCACACGTGTGTCCTCTAGGGGGCGTGTCTCACCAACAAAAGTGAGGTTAGTCCGTTGGAGGTGAAGAACGCTTGAACCGTTCAAGTTTTCAGAAATGCAAAGTATAATGAAACAATATCAAGCTTCAAAGGACCTAGCCCGGCCAGCATGGACCAAATTGTGGCTGGCACTGACTTTGTGCCAGGATGTGTTCTAAGTGACCTACGTGCTAACTCATGGTATTCTCATAACCATATGAGGTCGGTTTTATTATTAACTCATTTTACAGATGAGGAAAGCTAAAATGAAGTAACTTCAAATCACATAAGTGACAGCCAAATTCAATGTCAGAGAGATTGTCTCCAAGCACCAGGGCGCTAACCACCATACACTCTACTAGTAGACAGCTGTACATCACTTTAATTCCTTCCTCCCTGTATTAGACACATAATTTACATCACCTAGTGCCGTGGTCAGCAAACCGCGGTTCGCGAGCCACATGTGGCTCTTTGGCCCCCTGAGTGTGGCTCTTCCACAAAATACCACCTGTGGGCGCGCACCGTGCAATTAAAACTTCGTGGCCCATGCACAGAAGCCTCCCTTGTCCTTTCTCTTCTCCTCTCCATGCCCTTGACCGGAATCAAACCTGGGATCCTTTAGTCCACAGGCCAACATTCTATCCATTAAGCCAAACCAGTCAGGGCTGTTTTGAAGGAAGATAAAACAACCTCAAAAAGAATTGTTTTCAATTTTCCATTGAGGGGTTATTTTAAAGCAAATAGATGAACCTGGTGAAAGGGAGAAAGGAAGAAAGAGAGTGAGGAGGGAGTGTGGGAAAGAGAGGCTTTGTAATGACTTCCATGTGAGGACAGCCTGGAACCCCTTTCTCCAACCTCATCTCCTTCCATCCTTTCTTTCACTTTATGGTCGGAAAAAATCATAATTCCCCAACTTGTACACCATTTCAAGCCTCTGGGGTCTTACTTGGACTGCTCTGTGTCCAAGTAGAGTTCTTTTTCCCTCCTTTTGGTAAGGATTCAAAACCCTCTGCCTTTCTCCTTTCCTTCTTGCAGCGGTTCTCAACCTGTGGGGCGCGACCCTTTCACAGGGGTCGCCTAAGACCATCGGAAAACACATATATAATTACATATTGTTTTGTGATTAATCACTATGCTTTAATTATGTTCAATTTGTAACAATGAAATTGGGAGTCACCACTGGGAGGAACTGTATTAAAGGGTCGCGGCATTAAGAAGGTTGAGAACACTAGGGAAAAAGAAGAGAGAAGTAGAGCTTTGACTGGTTTGGCTCAGTGGATAGGGCGTCAGCCTGCAGACTGAAGGGTCCCAGGTTCGATTCTTGTCAAGGGCATGTACTCTAGGAGAGTCTTTCTAATTACCTTTTCCTGTCTGTGTGAGGTACCCTCCCCTGGGGCCCAGTGCTATCCTGTGCTTATCTCTGTCATGGTTCTAGTCATATTGGATGGAAATAATCACTCTGATCCTCTTTTCT